CATTTGAAACTAGCTTTTGTTTAAAACACATATTGATCAAGTACTTGTCCTAATTTGTATATCATCTTGCTCAATTCTCAAAGATAGAGCCAGAACGCTAATTAATAGGTTAAAGCTCAAAACCAAGTAATATTTGAAGATAATTAATTAGCTAATCAAGAAACAAAAACAAGCAGCTAAATATAGTTGCAAACATAATTTAGCGGTAATTTCACACCTGACTCCACCAAAAGATGTGCAGATAAACATTTCTTTTTCCCTAATTGATTAGTATACGTCAAAAGTTTTTTTTTTTTTTTTCCACCAACATTTCTTTGGTTTTTCCTCCAATACGTCAAAAATTTGATTAGTATGCCTAATTGATCAAGAATAATGACCCTTTTCGTCCTCTATGAAAGATAAAGTCTTCGATGGCAGCGTAAGAGGGTTTGGTAAGATGTATACTTGTGTCCATGTATATAAACTACAACTTAAAACTAAAGTGCGTTCACAAATAGATCTCAATTAGCATGACTTTTTCTAATGTAGTAAAATAACCAATGCACAAGAACATGACCTTTTTCGCTTTGGAGTACTCGTCCATTTAAGTTTGATGTGAAAGTCCCCCCCAACTACATTGCAACTCAATTCCCAAAATTTCTAACCCATGTTAATTGCCCTTGGCCTTGTGAAGAAAATCAAAAGGCAACTAACTTGGGATGAAAAGCAAGAATTTTTTTTTTTTTTTTTTTTTTTTTTTTTTTTTTTTTTTTTTGGTCTTGTTTTAGGTAGCTCGTGGGATTTTTTTTTTCTCTATGGTTCTAGTAGTAAACCTTTTTTTCTTTTTTTTTTTTTTTTCTTTTTTTTGGGTTGCTAACGGTTCTAGTAGTAGTGAGCACAAAACATGGATGCTATGAATATCTCCATAGATGTCAATAGTAAAGGAAGTTATAAAGAAGGGAGTGCTTTTCTCAATTATGATAATGATAATGATGATGATGTAGTGTTGGTTAGAACTTTGAGAGAGAAGAGAAAATGAAAAGGATCCCATTGTTGACTAGTTCTTTTTGGGGCCTTTTGAGAGTCATAAGACGGCCAATTAGGGCTGGTTTTGTTTGTTTGTTTTCTCCTTTTTTTTCTTTCCCTTCAAAATTTTTTTTTCTCCTCATTCAAACTTTTGCACAATGTAATCCCCACCACTTGGAGTCATATTGTGCGTGTGTGAATATGAAGTGGCACTCACTCTCACACCCCAAAAAAAAAAAAAATGATAATAATAAATAAATGAACTTACCCTTTTAACCATTACCATTCATTGCCCTTTTTTTTCCCTTTTCTTTTTTAATCTTTTGGATGGAACAAGAACCGACCCACCGACTGATATGGCCCTCTCAAATTTCTCAACTATAAAAAGGCCAGCTAGCTAGCCAACCCAACGCTGTCATGCCAACGCCATATGTATTATCTCACACTATATATGGTTTAATTTTTCTGTTTATGTACATTCCACTGATTGGCTTAGCATTAAAGATAAGCATGCCATAATAAATAGTGGATAATTGGAGCAACATGATGATTGGGACTTTGTTCTTTTTCTCTTAACCTTTTTTTTTTTTTTTCTTTTTTGCGTTTTGGGTTTTTCCCAAGGATGATTTGGAACCCTCTAGCTAGCTACAAAGCTTGGTGGGGGGGGGAAAAAAAAAAAAAAAAAAAAGCTAGTGCCCTTTTGAATAGGACATCTGATAAATTTACCCTTTTATAGGTAATGAAGAATAGTGGTGCTTAATTGAAATCCCATGTTGTCCACTCAATCACAAAATGGGAAAAGGAAACAAAGGATAAGGAAAGAAGGGAAAAAAATTTAGGAGCAGTATATTCTTCTACTTGTAGTTCTACTTGTTAGTATTACTTGAAAAACTTTTTTTTTTTTTTTGGCTACTTTTTTTAAATATTTTATTTGGGTAGAGTGGCAAAGGAGGATTGATAAGGTCGGTCTAGGAATATATTTTGGCATTATACAGAGTATATATGCAGTGGGAATTTACGGTTGAAATTGGTCAAATAAAAAGGTAGATCAACCGTTTTCCTTACCATCTTCCTACATATATATTCCTTCTTTTTGTGTATTTTCCTTTGTATTGTATAATATTGATATGATGTTGCATCTTGAAGAACAAAATACTATGCTTTCGAAAAAAAAAAAAGAAAGAAAGAAAGAAAGAAAGAAAGAAAGAAAGAAAGGGAGAGCAAAATACTATAAGGAGGAATATATTATGTTTGGCACTTTAGTCAACACGTAAAGTAATTTTTAGTAGCTTGTCAAAACAAAAGTACCGGTTATTGCTCAGAAAAGCGACAAAAACCACTTTGTTTGGTGCTAGCCGATATAGTGTTGTTAACCCCCGAAAAAAAAAAGTGAAAATTATTAACAAGATTAACGTCTATTGCGGTCAAATTAATATAAACATTATACTATTTCTGTTCCTAATTATCTTAAGTAGACTTCTATTTTTTTCTTACTAAAAAAAAAATCTAATGGTGAAACATATTCTTGGGAATAATTAACTGATAAGAATTTCCACTTGAAATAGATTTATACGAAAGGCAAGTTGGGGTTTTGCCTAACCTAGAAAGAAGCAGAAAATATGACGACCACAGACAGTTGATGTGAGGATCAGAAAACTTCATAGTCTTTGTGTGGACAAGCCAGCCATTAATTTTCTTGTTGTTTATAAAAGTCTCATGCAAAGAATTGTTCAACTTTCTTCCATATATAAACAAAAGCCTTTCAAGCAAAGACTTTGAATAACCCTTATTATTTTCTGCTTGACATTATATAAATTGTCAATCTCATCCTGATTTCTACCATTTATATCATTATGACATTATATTAAAAATATCCCCCTTTTTTTTAACCAAACTATATAGAAATCTATGATTTCCCAGACATACCAATGGTCAAGAAAGATAATAAAAAAAAAGTAAATAAATTGACCAATTTGCCATTATATGCTTTTATTTACTCATTTTCCTAATAGTTGGTACTTTTTTAAAAAAATATATATATTTCTTACAGAAATTCAGTGATAATTACTTGCAAATCTATCGAGGAAAAAAAACATTACTGCAAAAGGGAAATATAAAATGAAAGCCTAACAACATTTTAGTGTTTTGGGCAAAGTGATGAGTAACGTAATGAAATTCTAAGATGACAAGTAGTTATCGCCCTAGTAAAGGAAAACCTGTAAAATATGACATTGATGCAAAGGAGAATTAAAATTAATTTTCATTCTTCTTTTATTTGCCAACTGATCAGACCTAAACATATGATAATCAAAATCAGTGATGAACCTGATTTGGCTATTATGCATGTCAGAGTGACAACCGCCAGTTATAAGGTGGCTTTTACCTGAATGACAGCCCATTGACATGTTAGTTCTGTACTTTGTTGTTTAGCCAATTATTAGTTTACCCTTTAACAAATATATATACATATAAATATTCATATTTGGTCATTTTTTAATGAGAAAAATGTAGACTTGTTGATTTAAATTTTTTGCTACCGTATTTTTTTTATAAAATTTTAAATTTAATTTTATTGTTATAATATATATATATTTTTACATAAATTGAATTAAAATTTTTAATTCAAGTTCTCAAATGATGCCTTAGCCATTTATATGCAAAATTTACTTTAAATATTTATTTTGCTTATAAGGTTATGCTGAAAATGACATTTGGTTCGGTCCCTACTAGATATGGGTTTCCTCTAATAATGCCCTGTATGGCAAATAGAAATTTCAACTTTTTTTTGTTTGGTAGGTAAATTTTGAGCTTTATAGGTGCTACATAAAGATTAAAGACCCTATTGCTTGCTTAAGATTGAAAAGCTTCAACTAAGAGGATGAGCCTGTTTAATTCGTTGATTCGAGTTTTTAATTCGAGTTGAGATATGATTTTATGTGAGAGTTTTTTACTGTAGTAAAAAAGTTAGATGTGACTGTTTGTGAGAACTTTTTACTGTAGCAAAACTTGAATTCTAAACTCGAATCAGCGAAATGAACGGGATAGCTAATTTGATAATTTACTAGGAAAAAAAAAAAAGAAAGAAAGAAAACATAAACTGCAAATTATGCTTCTTAGTTCAAATTAAATGAATTTGACTAAAGGTTTCCTTATATTTTCCAATGCGGCTGCCTAAGGCTAAGAAGATACTTTGATTCAAACCATACCATCAATAATAATATTCTCTCAGTGAAACAAGGGATTTGCCTTTACTTAAATATCAACTTTTCAGATTTCCCAGTTTGGAAAAAGAAAAATTAATGAGTTGTCAAAAAAAAAAAAAAAACATTGCCTATAATTTTTTTATAAAATAAAAAAAAAATCAGATGGACCCTTCAAGCTCAAGGCTATTATAGTAATTTGATAACCTATTTCACCCTTTTTCTCTCTCTAAACTTTCTCTCACTAATCCCAACTGCTGGTTGTGCAGATCTATAAGTAAAGTTGTAACACCCCCAGACAAAGACAGAGTGGTACAGTAGTAGATAAGAGAGAATTAGCTTCCTCTTCATGAACTGTACAATGTCAGTAGTAAGGAGGTGGGAGTTATGTTTTCTACTTATAAAAAACCATGTATCATGTATGGATAGTGGGTTGATCAACTTCTTTGAGAATGACTTTTCAAATACTATATATTAAAATAAAAAAACATAAAACAAGTAAAAAATAAATAAATAAAAACAAAGCAAAGAATATTGGTGGAACAGAACAGTCAGCTAGAACACCCCATTAACAAGAAAAATGCTTACTTTTCCTATTTAGAGTAACTTCTCAAGTTCAAACCAAAAAAAAAAAATGTAGTTCTCCATTGTTGGATGTTGGAAACTTGGAATTAGTAGTCACAGAGCAAAACAGAGTTCAGATAAATGAATTACAGTTAGAATAAAGAAGAAGAAGAAGAATAGAAAGACTATAAATATAGCAAATTAAGTAAAAGAAAAAACTTTAAACCTGTTTGGAAATAACAAATATTTCTCATAATAACAGATCCATCAAAGCATAACCGAAAATTGTTCCAAAAAAAAAAAAAATTGCTGGTTTTACCTAATGGGGTTGACGAATTCCGCATCGGAAACCGCGGAGAACTCGATTTGGCTAATCTCATCCTCATCATCACCATCATCACCATCATCATCATCATCTGGAGCTGGGAGATTAAGATCGATCAAGCTGATTTGATCTCCAAGCTTGTTTAAACTTTTCTTAGTAGTAGTAGTAGTAGTAGTAAAACTTGGATTCTTAGCACTTGTTGGTTTTGGCGGTGATGGTGCTGAAATAGTAGTAGTAATAGTAGCAGAAAGAACATGCGATCTTTTGTGACCACCAAGCGCTTGACCAGACGAGAAAACTCGAAAACAAACTGGGCACTCGTGGATTTTCTTCGTTATTACGGAACCTGCATTTTCTCGCAATGATTCATGAATTTCCTCTAAAGCCGGAGAAGAGCTGATTTTGATCTTCTTGTGGCTTGCTCTGTGGCCTCCCAAAGCTTGGTAAGATCGGAAAACCTTGCTGCATGTCTCGCATTTGTACTTCCCCCTCGTCCTAGTATTAGTATTCCTCGAACTCTTTAATTCCTCCTCGGATTCATTCTCACTCTCATCTTCATCTTCCTCTTCAGCATGATCTTCTTCTTCTCCTTTGGCTTCGGCTTCTTCGAGTTCTTCGTTTTCTCTGTTCCAGTTGTCCCTGGAGAGCATCATTAAGCAGAAGGCGATATCCTCGTCGGTTGTCGCGTCGGAGACCGAGCTGACCGGCTCCGAAAGCTCCGAGGATTTGATCTTCTTGTTTGTGTTGGGAAAGCTCGAATCCTGGACTGATAATTGGGTCTTGTCGAATTGCCAGTACTGGTGGTGGTGATCGGAGGAATTCGAGGCTGATTTACGAGTCCGTTTGGATCGCCGCCGGGTCGGGTTTTTAGACGACTCGGTCTCGCTCTCTCGGTCCTGGAGGACGACCGAGCCGGCGTCGACGACGGCAAAGGAGAATTCGGGATCTACCAACTTAATGCTTCTCTTTGGGTTCTCTCTTAGCCCATAGTAAAGCTCTTTCTCGTCTTCTCCTTCTTCTTCTTCTCTTTCCCCTGCTTCTTCTGATGACGAAGATGAAGCAGAATCGGCTTCTTCGCTAAGTTCCGCCGGTGCCGGGGAAGTCTCCGGAGGTGGTGGTGGTGGTGGGTCTTCTTCTTCTAGCTTTGGAGGGATTGGGAGACTCATCATGTGGGACCTCATGTGACCACCTAAAGCTCTGCCATTAGAGAAGCTTCTAAAGCAGAGCTTGCACTTGTGTTTCTCCATTACAAAACAGAGCAAGGTTTTTCGCTTGCTTGATTGATGTTTCTCTCTCCTTCTATTTCTCTTTCTCTCTCAAGAGCTTGAGAGTTCTACTCTGTTTTCTTTTTTTCTTTTTTTTTTTGGCCTTCTTTCTTCCTTTCTTTTGTTATGTTGTTTGTGAGAGAGTGGAAACTAAAAAAGGATTAGGTGACTAGCATTCCTCCACCGAGAGAGTTATATACCAAAGGGGAAAAAAAAATGTTTTACCTTTTTCTTCATTTTTGATTTGTTTTGTAGAACTTTTTTTTTTTTTTTTCCCTCTTTTTCACATGAAAAACGGCCAAACAAATAATTAAGATTTTAATTAATTAAAGCGTATGCATGAAGGGAGAAAAGAGCGACATGTAACATGCGAACCTTGCCCGTTTCTGTATTTATTCCCACCATCTCTCCTTTAAATTCACCACTTCTCAAATTCCCAAAACTACCCTTACCCACATAAATATTTTGGTAAATAGGAAAACAAAAAACCCCCCGTTTCAAATTACAGCCATCTCTTTCTCTTTTCGGTTGCAAAACGCTTGGCTCCCCATTTTCTTGAAGGAAAAAACACACAGATTATTGTTATAAAATATTCTTCAACGGAGGGCATTGTGGTAATTGAGGAGGGGTTACCAGAATAAACCGGTGGCTTGCTTGTCCAAGTCAAGGAAACTGCTAGGTTTGTTGTAACGACGAAGCAGAAAAATAAACACGCCCCAAAGGAAAATGACCCCATCTCTATTTAAACATCACCCAGCTGTGACCTATACTCAATAACAAACACACACCATTCTATTGAAAGCACCAAGCATAACAACTAAATCGACGTGTCACCACCAAACCAAATCATCAACGGACCCCACATCATCAGATTTATAAAAATAACCACTTTTCTTGATAATAAGCAGTTACTAAAATAAATAGTAAATAAAAAAAATTAACCCCAAAATTATAGCAACTGAATCTCGTTGATTTTAAGCTTATGCCTATGATTTAAGGCCATTTGTCATCCTTTTCTTTGCCCCCACTAAGTAACAAAAACATGGTCATTTTGTTACAATTTGTTAAAATGTTTTTTTTTTTTTTTTTTTTTTGGGGGTTTGGCTTGGTAACTATTAGTTTTCTTTCCATTAATTTTGGATCTTTAGTTGAAGTGTAAGATTGGAATGAAGGGTGGAAAATGAGTGGGAAACTTAACTTCCTCTCACGAAGAGAGGAGTTTTCTAAGGGGAAGGAGAGTAGATGCCGTTTTGTTAGGGGTTGGTAGACCCAGTCCTACTGGCTAATCCTATGTGCTCCCCACACATTTTGATTCTAACAAAGCCCGGTCCATCTGGGTTATTAATTAAATTACACATTGTTGAGTAAGCAAAACTCATTAAAAACAAAAAAAAAAATTGGAGAGTTTCTTTAGCAGGGTCATAAAAAATGAACTATCGTGATTTTTTATTTTCAATCGTTAAATTTATATTAAAAAATATTTATTATACATATTTTTTTAATTTAATGTGATTTTTATAAAATTTAATGGTGATAAATTGACACTACTAATAGGATTTATCTTATAAAAAATTCCAATAGAAATATGAAAAAAAAAAAAACAATAGTAATGCAAAAAAGGGAAAAAAAAAAAAAAGAAAAGAAAGAGAGAGATAAAGAGAAAGGTATGAGCTTTATTTTGAAAGTGCCATGTCAAAGTACTAACACCGAAGTTATTGGTCTTTTTTTCTTTTTCTTTTTCTTTTATTTTTTGTTTTCTGATATTTTTTTTTTTTTAGGTGAATCAAGCCCCAAGAAAGAATCCATCTTAATTCTTGCAAGTAAATGTCATTGTCGCTATGTCATCTTATTGGACTTAAGTAGCTATAGGTAGGCTAAGTATGCAGAAAGAAATATTCTTCATTTTTTTGGGGGTATTTTTTTTTTTTTTTCTCAATATTGTATTGAGCAATTGTTCTAGAGTTAGGTTGATAAGTTTTTGCATATAAATGGGCTTTTAAAAATTGTTGGCATCGACGTGTCATGCATGGCTATATAAGACTTTCGAAGGTACCCAAAGGTTGTTTCTTTATTGGAAAATTCCCTTTCATTCCCACTAGAAAACGTCGTTAATATGTTCATGTTAAAAAATAAAAAAAATAAAAAAGCTTCTAGAGATTTTCGCTTCTCATTTACTTGTGACCGACTTTGGATATATGAATAGTTAATTCTTGCGAATTATCTAAATGCAATTTTTCCACGAGTGTCATGTGAAAGTGTAATGGTTTAGCTTTAGAAAAATGGTAGAGCAAAGACCTAGAATTTGTAGCAAATTTTGCAGTTGAACTTGAATCAATGGAGCCTATCTTCTTCTTCTTCTTCTTCTTCTTCTTCTTGTTATTCCTTTTTTTTTTTCACTTTTTTTTTCAAATTTAATGGACCATGGCATGCTTATTGCTTAGGGAATTTCATGACAACGCAAGAAGTTTTCATCATAATTTCTTAACCCTTTCATAACTTCATTTTAGGCCAGAATATTATAGGTATGAACATCCTTTTCCTCAATGCTTGTATGAGTTGGCAGAATGTTCAACCTCAAATTCTGCAAAAAAAACAATTTGGTGGTCAAATTTTTCACAGTACAAATTCTGACCTCTTTTTTATTGCCGTATTTTCATAGACGGCTTTTTGTTTTTTTCATATATATAATTCTAGAATTTGATTTGGAACTTTAGTACTTATCAGCTCGAACCTCAAAACCATGTAGCAGATTTTTTATTTTTGATTTTTTTTTATTTTAACGCGTGCATAACTAAAAACCATTGAATATTATTATTTGCTATTTTTTTCCCTTATAAGGAAGGTCCTCTGCTTTAATACTGTGTATATAATAAATAGGTACACCGATTATGCGATTCTTAAATTTGATAAGAATATTGGAATCCAAATTATGTTCTCTTTCACTTTGTAGCCTAAAATTAATACCTTACGTGATGTTAATTAAAACTTAATTAGGATATTTTTGAGCGTGCATGAACTACAAACTATTGACCATTACTACTCAACAAGATGCTCCGGTTTTCATTTATTTAAAATGGATACCTTTTTTTTTGTGACTATGAAATTTAATATATGAGTATTGGAATCATGATAGCATTTTATCAGTTAGCAGCCCCAAAAATAATAACCAAATCACAGAAATAAATCGTAATTAGCAGAAATAAAACCATTTATTCCTTTGTTTCCTCTAATAAAGTGCCTTAAGAGTCTTCTTCTTCTTCTTTCTACTTTTTTTTTAAGTTAGTAAATGCATTTAATGAGTTTCCTGAGAAAGTGAGAAACTTTCCGAATCTGGATTTAGTCCCTTAATGGCTGTAAAAGATTCAATTAATCTCCAAACAGTTTTCAGATCACACATCAGTAACGTAATTTGAAGTTTTAACCACAAAATTGTTACAATTTCTTTGGAGTTATGTTAATTAATGGCATTGTCCATAAAGTTTTAGCAAATATGTGCACCGATTTTCTAGAAAAATTCCACGCCACGTTACCCCATGCTTTGTAGGATTTTCAGGTCTTTAATTATGGCGTGGTTTTTGTCTTCATATATAGAAGTTGGGAATATATATATATATATATATTCCGTTTCCTTGTATAACAATATTGGAAATATCAAATATGGGCATGCTTTACAACCTTACCAACATAGACAGATATCGTCATTAGTCTGTCTAATATTTTTTATTATTGTAAGACGATGATTTAGATTTTTTTGCTCATTTGAAGGGTATTTAAAAAAAAAAAAAAAAAAGGAAATTCACTAAAGTCATCAAATTGAATAGTGAATACTTCCACGCGCGATAATATGTCCAAATTAGCTAGGTTATTTTATTCAACAATAGCAAAAACAAATTTGATATGGCTTTGTTGATTAGTTGAGAAAAATTTTAAATGATGAGAGAGATATATTTCAGCTCCTTGAGTAACTTATGAAAAAAAAAATAAGAAGAAAAAAGAAGGTGAATGTGCAAGCATTATATTATAAGGTGGTAGCTGCCATCATAAGGAAATATATAGCTTAACTAAGACTATATAATATGCATATTGAAGAATATATTGCAACTTTATGTACTTTGCGTATCTTAAATCAAAGTTAATAGGAGTGCTTTTTTGACATGATTATGCATATAAATCTATGATAGATGTGTTTTTTTTTTTCTTTGG